CCTACATTCGAAAAACCATGGTGGAAACGAAATAGTCAGGGGAGGAAACAAGAAACAATGGCTTTAGCTACCTTTGTTTTATCACCGACGAGAAGCATTTCCCGGCGGAGATTTCGTCCACCGGTGCTGTTCCAGCCGAATATCGGCTCTTTGTCCTTGAGAGAAATTCCAGAAACTTGTTCTCGACAAAAAACGTTCCTTGAGAGAAAAAACTCTATTTTCCACTACAAGAAATATGTTCATCGTTAGCGCGAAAAATATGCTATCATACATATATCATAGCGAATTCACAAATGTTATGACATCGGCAGCTATAGTAGGTGTCACCCATACGATAGCGTTTTCTGACATGCTATTATAGAACGTTCAATTATAGCGATAATAGAGTGCTCTAATATACTATATTATAGCACACGTTTAACGTTATTTTATATTGTATTGTAACATTTTTATATTTAATATATAAATTTAATTTGATTTATATATAATTATTATAATTGAATCTTATTTTGCAAAATAAATTCAATTAGATTTATAATATAATATTTATATTTCATAAATCATCAACATACATAACAGTAATATTACATTATCATTTTTTACATAACATCATACCAAATCTTAAACAAAATAAAGCTAACATCATAAAGACAAACTTCAATCTCGTCTCCTCTATGTGTTTCGCCTTTCCGTTAGCATTCTCGTGCATAATCCATGTAAGCATTATAAAGACAAACTTCAATCTCCTTTCCTCCAAAACAACACAAAACCCTTTACTTGTCCTGTTTCCAATCCTTTAAAATTCCCAAATTTAATTATACTAAATCAACAGTCACTTTATCAAAAGCAGACACATTCACCATCTGACACCTGTCTTAAGTCTCCAATTTTACTCTTTTACTTTCTTTTTCTTTTTCTTTTCACACCAATTTAGGAAAAAAAAAAAACTGTTCTTTATAAAAAAAAAATTGTTCTTCCCTCCCATATCACCCACGATCCCTACAATCTCCAAGCAAACAAAATTTTTAAATCTCAAAACTGTTCACCCACGTCTCCATACCAATATTCATCTTTACTTTCACAAGATACTAGAGATACATTCAAAAATCGTTTCTTCCCCTTGAAATCATAAAAGGAGCCAATGCAATTATGGCTGTTCTATACCAAATATGTCATTAACTATTGTTATTATTTTTTCACCCAAATTGTTTTTTAATAATTAAGAATTTCATGTTATTTAATATTTATACATTGAAACTCTCATAATTGAAATTGTAAGGATTTCAAACCCAAAAAATTTTTGTTAGTTTTCATATTGATTTTAAATTAGAAAAATCAACATTGGTTTGTTCAGATTGAATTTAACATATCATTCTGAGCTCATGATGGTAATCCAAATTTGAAATAGGGAAAATATTTTTGTTATGAACTATATAAAATCATTTTTAGTTTTGTTAACAACTTTTGATTTCTAAATATAATAATACGTAACACTATTAATAAATGTTTTACTTTAAGTAATTCTTTTTATTAAAATAAAATTTTAAAAAGTATTTTACCGATAAAAACTTAGTCATCTTGAATATAAATCAAAATTTTGGCCCGGACGTAGTACGGGCTGGACACTAGTCTAAGTCTATATCATAAGAGCAAGTGAGCAAACTATTAGTTCTTACTACATTGACATTGAAGTGAATGGAACCAATGAAACTAATAGAGAAGAGTAGTGTTTCATCAAACCTCATGTGTATACGTTTTCATTGGGAGAGGGTCGGCACTAGCTAATCCAATATCTGTGACCTACAAGATGAAAAAACAATTGTTACTAACAACACTAAGAATCAGACATAATTACGTCAAAATGGAGATCCAATCACTTAGGGAGTAAAAGAAATACAAATGACAAAACCGTGGAATCTAGCAAAAGATAAAGGTTCCTGAAACTAAGATATAAAACTCAAACAAAAGAATCTAACTACCACCAAAACAAGAGTGTAAATTAGGCCAAGTAATGCAAGATATGAATGGCAATGTCAAACGCCTCTCTTCTATTGGTTTCAACGTTTGCTCTTTGATCTGTAAAGAGATATAGCAAAAAATAATAATGATGAAATAACATCTTCTTCACGGTGTTACCTTGAAGTATTTGTCATCTGTCAAAACATTAAGACATGCTGCTCCACCCTTCTCATCAGTGGGTGGTCTTCTCCTTATCCTTATACCCACTTCATTCTGGTACATTCCCACTTCATGTTCACTAATCTTGAAATCATTTACTTTACCCTCCAATGCCGAATCATTCTGTGATTCCAGACTAACCAAAAACAAAAAGCTACTTAGTTCTCAACGTGAATACATAATTTCTTCAAACATCACAGTTTCCTAAAGTGCACAAGTCTTCAATGTTCAACAAGACTAAAAACGATTCCAAGAAACTAGAGGACCTACCTAATATCGACTTTTATCCGAACTCCTGAAGCTGAAAAGCGATTGATACCAACTCCCGAATCATAGATTCAACTTTAGATTTTCATCAATTTGAGAATCAATGAATCAGCACTTGAATTTACACATCGTAATTGTGGTGTATACAATTCCGGGGCTAACATAGAAATAAGAAGATGAAATTGGACAAAATGAAACCTTTTGAGCACGAAAAGGATCCTTCGTTGGCTCGAATTGTTACTCATTCGCAGTCTCCAGCCTTCAATTTCCGCATCCAACCTCTGTGAACCACCATTACCACCAGAACAAACTACTCTGTAAGCCACCGTTACAACCGTTTCTCTAAAGATAGATCAAACCCTAGATTAGGGAATTTAGTTATCAAAAATCAAAGCTTTTGGGTGTTTGTGACAAGCAACGACGACGAGGAAGTGGGTGGCAGCCATGGAGGATGAGTTTCTCGACGAGAAGGGAGGGAGAAGAAGAAGTGAAGAAGATGTTGAAGAGAAGAGAAGAGGAGTTAAGGTTTCTAATTGTCGACGGCTAATGAAAAAGGAGAGATATATAAATCTAGGTTAGAACTTAGAAGCATAAAAAGGTTTTTTTTTTTCTTTCAATAAAGGGAAATTGTTAAAAATACTCCTTTTGGTGTTCCCCTTTTCAAAAATGCCTCTTTTAGATGTCTATTTTCAAAAATGCCTTTTTTTAAATCTGAAATTTTTATAAAGTTTTATTAGGTTTATATGGTACTTATGGATTGTAACTACTACTTGAAGACTCGATCCAAGTATTTATAAGGTTTTATAAGGTGTTTTTAAAGGTTTTACAAGTTATTTTAAAGGATTTTTAAGGTTTTTCAAAGGTTTTACAAGATATTTTAAAGTTTTTTAAAGGTATTTAAAATGCATTTATAAGGTATTTATAAAGTATTTATAAGATTTTAGATACATAGAAATGTAGTTTGTGTATGTTTTAATAATATTACATACATATTTGGGTAAATCTTATATTTTTAAGAGCATTTTTTATAAGGTTTTAAAAAAGGGGTATTTTTGAAAAGTAGCATTGAAAAAGTGACATTTTTGCAAAAGCCCCTTCAATAAAAGCATACAGTTTTCCTTTTAATTTGTAAAAGAAAATTAAAATGAATTGTTTAGATTAAAATTTTTTAAGAAAAATTATATGTTACCAACTTTTAGACCCGAAAGTCATTTTCACTAAATATTGGCGGTGCAAAGTGATTTTAGCTTTTCATTTTGCTATTATTAGACTTAGGGGGTGTTATTCATTTATGGAGTTAAAGTCAATTCTTAAAGGTTTAGATTTGATTTCTGATATTGTTTTTAACAATCTGTTTGTGTGGAGTTCAAAATCTCTGCAGTATATTTTGGATTATGATTCTAATAATTTACTCATGAAATCCAAAGATGTTTCATTTCAAATGATTTGATATACAAAGATTTTACAAGTCGTTTAGTTTTGAATAACACTGGATTTTAATGAAGCATTTTAAATCTTAGTTGAATAACACCAAGCTTTAAAATCTATTAGAGTTAGATTTAGAATCATTAGGTTAATAACACTGGATTAGTGTTGGATTTCAATTCTATTAAAATCCATCATTGAATAACACCACCTTAGCATTTTGGTTTTGCTATTATTCAGCTTAGCGTTTCTGAAATGCTATTATATCATTACCAAAATCCGAATATCATCTTCAATAGCAGTTCAGT